AACTAGATATGCTATGGCCAATCATGCCTCCCAACCGCCTGCTCACCGTGGCTGCTGCTCAGCAGTGGGAAGCAGCACGGCTCGCTCGTGGGATTCCAACGACGCTCGCCGACCACGCTGCTGCTCGTGCACGCCAGAACGACCACATTATCGCCGTTGGCTCGCAACGCCACCATAAGTCGCCCTTCTACAGTGACTACGAGCACAAGTTGCCCGACCGTAGCACGCAGATCGTGCGGCTAATCCGTGACTTCAAGCGTGCGGTGCGTTCATGAGTGCACACCATTCGAGCTGGCACTAACGGTACTGCAGATTTACGGACTCGAGTGCGGTGGGGACTGTTGCGTCATCGCGTACGTCCTTGGCCCACATGGCGACCCGGAGAACTTCGAACGCATGGACGAGACCGACTCGACGATTGTGCGCGTGCGCGATTGGACTCGTATCCGGTTCAAGTACGCCCACATCCCCGCTTCCATTCGTGGCGAGGACCTCAAGTCCGTCACCCCTGAGTTCGAGCCCTACGTCAGCGGGCTCGAGGACTACATCAAGCAGTACTTCGCAAAGCCGCATATCGAGACGTGGGGGCCACGCCGCAAGCAAGCTGGTCACGCGGGCGTACTCTCGGGCACGCGTCAGCCCTTTGCTGAAGACGCGCCGGACGCCCAGCACTGTGAGTCGTGTTTCTTTCATTGCACCGTCTGTTTGAGCTGAAGTTGAATATGTAGATGCAGACGCGGCTGCTGCTGAGCAGGCAGATCGCATGGCGCACGCACGCGGCATCGCGATGCAGCACATCGTCAACGGGACGACCTCGCGCCTGCCCGAACTCGTTGCCAGTGTCGCCTCGGACCGCGAGCACGAGCAGCTCATCATGGGCGTGCTCGCGCACATGGACGCGCCAGACGCGCTCCGATTCCTCATTGAAGACCGCCTCCCGCTGCACCATGCTACCGCCTTGATCAACGAGGCCGTTCTTGACGAGATGGAAGGCTTTGGTGCCAAGTTGTTTTCATGGTGGGTTGCTGTGACTTAACGCGCACGTAAACTCATCAGCGTCTTGCAGAGTTATGGACATGTGAAGCTCTCGTTTGTAGTTCCTCTCCCCTGCCGTCCTGTCGCGCCTATGCCTTCCCCATTCCCCACCCCGTACTCGTTACACTTGACCCTGCACACTCCTCCCTGCCGTCGCTCTGCCACAACACATCTCGTGCTCCATCGCATCAATGTCGCGCTGTCCATGCTTTCGAGTACACTTACCCTCTATCCCGCTCAATAGATACATGACCATGCATGTTGCACCCGCCTATCACGCTGTCCTCGTATTCACCCGTTGGTATCGGAGTTCTGTTCAAGTCCGCTCCTCGTCCTTTTTTCACAGCTTACACTCAGGACGTTATGAAGTCAGTTCATCGCAGGCTCGCGACGAAGCTCTTCAGGGGCGCGAAGGCCAAGCGTAACCCATCCGCACGAAGGCTTTCAAAAGCGGAGAACAAGGCATACGAGGCCAGCATCGACGGCGCTCACACGACGATCAAGGACACTATCAGGGAGATTGCAACTCGTTATAATAAGTAAGTCCGTTGCTACTGTTCCTATCCCTCCTTGCTGACAACGTCCACTCTGCAGGCCGTATGGGGTCGTTCGCAACCGTATTTTCACGGTGACGCGACTCGACTCGACGAACCTCACGTGGCAGGCGTTCCTACACGTGAAGACCAAAGAATTAAACGAGGGTATGTCTACTCAGAGCTCACTACACGCAATTACTGACCACTATTGGTATCGTAGGCAAGGGCAAGGGCGAGCGACTTCGGCTCGCGCAGATTATCCGGATTGCGAGCGCTGAAAGACCACACTGGAAGACGCGCCCGAAGGAAGAGCAAGAGGGCTGGGTTCGCCAGCTCCTTGAGCACAGAGCCGATGCCCACACGCAGAAGCGTCGTAACCGCCGTGGCGAGGAGGTTGACCACGCGCACACGACGGGCAACATATCCCACGAGGTACGGGCTTTGTCTCTTTTGATATACTTGCCAGCGCTGACTGCCTATGCAGATGAAGGGCGCCGAGCTACGCTACGGCCTTCAGAGCTTCTTCATGGGCGTGCGGTCAGACGCAGAGCAGCGCATCATGCCCATGTACGCGTGCACAGACCAAGTCAAGGAGTTCGTTGCGCTGTACTTGGGCAAAACACCCGAGCAGATCGTGCGCATGTTCGAGATGTGGTCTATCAACGGCATGGACGGTGTGTACAGCCTGCTTGCACGTTGAGCGCGAGCTGATACATAGTCTGCAGGCATGCTCGGTTCCACCAGCCGCAAGAACTACAACCAGCTCAAGACCGAATGCCGCCATTTCATTCAGATGCTGCTCAGTACGTGTGCCACACGCCTGCATGATTAATACTCACTAACCGCGGGTAGATGTGATACTTACCAGTGAGAACGAGGCGCAGGAACCCCCGGAGATGAACTACGACAGCTACGAGAGCGAAATCGTTGCCAAGTACGGTGTCAAGCTCGTTGGGTGGACGTATGGCGACACGATCATCAACCCCGGCTACATTACGACAGTCAATGAGATGCGCAAGTTGCATACTGCACTTGTGAAGAAGACTTGTCGGTGGGAGCGCGTCACGGACGAGGAGAGCCAGGCGCTCGCGGCCAACCCGCCCACTGCGCCCGCACGCCAGGAGCGCTCAGACAAGAACAAAAAGCGCGGGCCCAACATCCGCACCAAGAGGAGGCTCGAGGCGGAGGCGGCGGCGGCGGCGGCAGCAGCGGGAGAGTCGCCCGAAGGTGACGCGATGGAGGTGGATGGCACGACTGCGCCCGCGCCCGCGTCTGCGCCCGCGCCTGCGCCCGCGCCCGCGCCCACGCCAGCACCCGCGGCGAAGAAGGCAACGCGCAAGAAGAAGACGAAAGGCACGGCGGCGGCGGCCAGTCAACCCGTACCCGCCCACACGCCTGTCGCCACCCCGATACCTAGCGCCACTCCCGCTCTTGTACCAGTCGCAGCGCCTACCCCCATCTCATCTCGTCGTTCCCCTCCTGCTGCTCCCCCGTTCCTCGCTGCATCCATGCCCGGTCCTTCCCAACATCTACCGTTTCCATTTGACTTCGTCGTTCCAACGAGTACTCCCCAGCCCACAGCTACGTTCGAATCTGCTACGACCTTCCTCCCACCCGCGCCACCATTCCAGCCCGCTACAGCATTCCAACCTAACATGTTCGGACCTACCACCTCCGTCTTCCAACCCTCCCCCATGTTCCAACCCTCCCCGTTCCCATCCTCCTCCATGTACGCTCACCCTGATCCCGTGCAGGCTCAGCCAACTTCCCATCCCGACACCATCTTCCCCTCTTTCTAGACCCTCGGTGCCGTCATGCTCCCCCTGTCGCGCTCCCCCTGTCGCGCTGTCCTTGCTGTCATAAGTCCACTCCCCGCATATTCTGCTCTTTATGTTGCTAGGTAGTTTCGGAAGTCAATGAACAGTGCATGAGTCGTGCAAGAACTTCGGGTTGCAGGCAAAGGGACGAGGCGGGTGGAAATAGTGTGCTCGCTGTGTGTGGTGACGAGCGTGAGTTCTGCTCTTTGCACCCGCCCTAGATAGCATTATGCAGCAATTTATTTGCAGTCTGCAGTTTACACGAAGGGAAACGGACGAGAAATGGGGGAGATACCGTGCACGCTGTCGACGGCGACGAGCACGATGGCGGGCAATCCGTGACGGGCGGGAAGCAGCGCGGAAGTGTCGGCGGGCGATCCGGCGGCGTCCCCTGACAGCTGGTTCTGTGAGCTCTGGCTCCGTCTGTGAGACTTAGAGACGCCAGCCATAGTTAAGCAAAGATACTGCTGGAATGGAGCATATCTATTATCGTTTACACACGTAGGGAGAAGTCACGCGGTTCCTTCCCTATGAAGGTAACGGAAACTGGTGAGGTACAGGTGCAGTCGCTGCGGTCTGACCCGCCCGTCGCTTCCGCAATGCAAATAAAGAGGAGCAAGTTGCAGGCGTCGAGCGCTCCCCCCACGTTCTTCTTCTC